TCTGATCTAATCAGACCAAAGGACCCTCTGCTGAACTCTAGTCAGCACTGTTACAGGTGGCGATAACGCACTAATAAAGAAGGCTGCTGGTCAGTAAACATGGATGCAATCAAAGTGGGATATAAAATAAGAATTGGTTTGTCTTTATTTATCTAGATATTCCCATTCAAGGCTTTACATGATCACATGTTTAGTTTGTCTGAAAGAGGACGTCTCAGAGGTTTAAACAATGAGACGATTAACAACAAATAAGTAATAGTTCAGAGTTGTACCTTAACGAAAGCGTCCCGGACATCCAGAGCTTGTTCCATGCTGAGCGGAGTGGAGACGGTCTCTCCTCTGGTGATCAGCGTTCGACTGGTCAGACAGTTCATCAGATCTTTACCGTCCACCTGAACACACAAACACAAACATTCAGTCAAGTCACGATTCAGCTCGTCGATTATCGGAAAGGTTTCAGTTTACATGTTGAACAGTGATCAAAGTGAATTTAAACATAAGTGCCTGCAGGTCACCGAGTCAGAGAATGATCTGAATATTCGTCATTGGAAAGTGAAAAAGCTCAGAGAAAAGTAAAGACGTCCAGTTTTGATTTTATTTTATTTGTTTATTTGCTCCTGAGACAGAAAAAAAACACTAAATCTGCTTTACACTCACTCCTGATAGATATCATTGATCTCAGCTGTTAGCGTTTGTTTTTATGGCAGTAGGGTTTTATTGTTATGAGCATTCTGGGTTTTAGCCAAACGAATATGAAACTGTAGAACAACGTACATGAGAGAAGATCTGGTGTGATTCTGGCAGCAAACTTGTCTTTTGCTCTCTTTGATGAAATGTGGAAAAAGTCTTTCCCTGAATCACTTCACATAACTTAAAGTGTTGTTTCTTGTGTGTGTCTATCCGTATTTAGAAATGTGTGCGTCACCTCCAGCAGAGTTGCAGCGGTGGTCAGGTGAGCGCTGCGAACCACCTCACAGGCATCCAGGTTGTCGTAGGTCCGAGCTGCAGGACGGAAGGTCAACAGAGTTCAGATTAACTGTGCAAATAACACGTATTGTTAAAAGTGCTAACTAACTGAGCTTTACATCATTTTTACAGAGCAACAAAACTAGACACAAAAAACCCCCAAAAACCTCACCTTCATATCTCAGGTTGCCCATGTGCAGTATGGCCGCCAGCAGCTTCGAGATCTCCCAGTTCTCCTTGTCAGTGAACATGAGCACCTGAGCAAACAGAGCAAACATTCATCAACGTCCAGTACAATAAAAATAAACGAAGTAAAGACTTTGACGTACCTTCATGGCAGAGCGGATGTTGGAGTATTCCTTCAGGTCGTCTCGGCCGTCGCACACGGTGCAGTTTCCCTGCAGAGAGACAGACGCTTTGACTCCAGCCAGGTAAAAATGATGTTTGATATTTTACATCCCGGTAACTTCATCTGTTCTTCCTGTTTTATCTCGTGGAAGTAGCTCAACTTCTTATCATCTTTTAGGGTTTAAAGTTTCCCTTTAATGCTGTTGTAAAGTTTGTTGTATGTTCAAACAAGCAAAACAAGGACGCTGTTCGATTTTATAACAATCTCGATAAATAAAAATAAAATATAAGTGAAAATAAAATATTAAACGTACTGCACAGTAAAACACATTTTGTATTCTCTTTTCCTGAGTTGCAGCACTGCTCTTATCATAAAATGGTCTTGTTGATGTTTAATGCAACACCAGACGGATGTTATTCAGAAAAGAAGAAACAGATGAACAGGTGAAGCACAGACGTGTGATTTCTGTCGTCTTTGTTAAGACTCAGAAACTGCAGCTCAACCTGAGGAATCTACTTTATGGTGCAGCAGACACAACACTTTAAATTCAGAGTGCTGGAATCGTTCTGTGGTGGTTCTGTGATTAGAATTTATGTTCACTGTTGGCAGTAGCTTAAAACTTCTACAGCTTTTGCATTTCTGCACTAAGTGGAAGATTGATGACGATGAGAGACCGTTCAGCATCTGCAGAGGTTCATAAACAGCCTGTTCACCCACAGACACCGAATCAGCTGAATACAAAAAGAGGACATTAGAGCGTCGCTCACGATGGTCAGGTAGGTGTAGTCGGTGGCTTTGCTCAGCTCCAGCTTCTTCTTCTCGTCTGGAGTCATGCCCTTCAGCATGCAGTAGAAGATGTGGTAGTTTCTCTCATCGTGGGCCTGCAGAGAGAGGAAATAAATACGAGTAAATGTTACACATCTGTAAAGGATGTTGTACAGAACCAGAAGAGGATCCATGGAGCCTGGATCATACAGCAGATGGACCAATAGGTTCAATAAAATAGAAAAACCTGCTCGAAAAACCTTGTTAATTTGCAATTTTGTCAATTTTGGAAGGTTATTTAAATACCAGAAAACAGAATCACAGTTTTTCAGACTGAGGGCTGTAAAGTTTAAGCAGATTTTAGGATCACTTTTAATCACCAAGCTGAGTAAACATACAAGGAATTTGACTCTTTCTGTGTTTTTTTGTCTTTGCTCCCAAAAACTTACACTAAAAACACACACAGCATTTACAGCAGAAGGAAAACAACCACGTAAAGCTGTCGTTACGTGTAAAAGA